ACTGATCTGGAGAACAATAGTTAATTGGTAATCCTTTCCAAGTTGTGGTTCAAGTGTTTCTGCGAACGCTCAGGAGAGGCAGGTTGATTTGAGCAGAGTGGGTGAGTAAGAGAAGTTTCCTGGAATGGTGAATTTTAGAGGGAGAAAATAATTCCACTTTTCTTTATCAAAGAGAGGAGAGGACATTACATGAACAAATTATGAGATTAGAAATTAGTAAAAAGAAATTTAGAGTTAACAGATACTGAGTTTCTACTGAAAGGCAGAAACTGCTTGTCACTAGTGCTACAGTAGGTATACTAAGACATGCTCCCTGCTCTCAGGAAATTTGTGATTTAAAAGGGGAAAAGAAGAACATAAATAGACAAATACACCATAGTGTGCCAAGTGCAATACCAGGAGTAAGTACCAAGTTCAGTGTTGGTTTGGAAAAAGATATGTCTGAGAAAGAATTTTCTGTTGTGTGAGTCATGAGCAATTGCTTGAGATCTTTAATGTGAAATGATGTTGATTTTTAATATGTTATCTGTTCTAAGTTTGGGGAGATAGTGGTTTGGGAATAATATTCAAGTTCATAAATCTGGCCTCACTGTAGAAGATGCGCTAGTTTATTGAGAACCAGAAGTTTGGAAGAATAACTATGAGATTACTATAATGAAACACAGTTTGACTGAAAAGCCTATAATTTATCTAAAGTGCACTAGTACTTCTAGTGTGTTCCAGTGTGCTTAGTTCGACTGATGGATTTTTTTTTTCTGTCAGAATATGCTTGTATATCTTGGTTTCTATCTAGTTGAAATATTAGTCCTTTACAGGTCAATAGTAATTTTTTTTTAAATTATTTATTCTTTTTTTCTCCTTTCCCTCATCCTTGTTTGATATCTTGGCACAAAGACTTAAAAAAAAAGTCATGGAAAAAGGCCACAGGACATAGACCGTTCTTTAGGTCCACACTAGTCTTTACTGAAGTGTGGCTGATTTAGTTTGTCCCTGAACTTGGGTATACCAATTGTGTTTAATTTCAAATATTACTGATATTATAATTAGAGCATTTTGGGCAACATAGGGCTTAAGGGTCTTGCATAACCTCTGGTCTTAACGGTCCTAACTTAATGGGCAGCTTGTAGCAAATCCAGCTCTCTCCCAGATTACTAGTCCTCTCAATAATTGAGTCTGCCATGAAGGCATGGGATAACTTCTAGATCCCCTGACGTCTCCATGTGAGCTGCGGAGAAACTAGGAAGCTGCATCAGTGTTACTTTCTCAGACTCCTTCCTTGAACATTTCTAATCCACCTTCTGGATGTCCCCATTGTGCTCTAGTACTATGCTAAACACTGGGATGCTCTAAGTGGAGTGTGTAAGTTTCCTGGGATAACCCCTCAGCTGTTGAGATTCTCTTCCATAATATATGGATGATTCTAATGCCCCTTATTTCTTTGTTACACCAAGAATCAACTCCAAGTGGAGTTGATGTAAGAAATCCATGTCTCTCTTCTAGCCATTTATCCCAGGCCCCTCCTCTCAGAACTGGATGCACCTCTCTTCTTGTGGGGTAGCAGTTTTCTCTATGTAATATATGGTATCTACCTTTTCAGTGGCTTCATCATTTAAACTCTCAGGTGTCCAGTCCTCCAGGTTCTAGGAATATTAAGTTCAATTTTGGAATTTCTTTTATCAACCATTTTCTCTCTCAATAAAGCTTGCTTTTACAAATAAAAAGCACCTTTTAAAATCTTAATTTACTGCAGATTTGTTAAAACCCTTTCATTTGGAAGCTCAAAGCTGAGCAAAGATTTTTTAGCTCTAGGCTGGATTCTACTTACACCAACACAATGAGTATTGTTAATTTAGTGGGTAAGAGAGCCTTGGAAGAATTAGCAATGAAAATATATTAGTTAAAGAATTCACAAATATTATCTTTACTTGAGTTAGTGATTGTAGAGATCTAGGAATGAGGTGATGGGGCCTATAGTCTGGGAATTAATGACAAAAGTGGAGAGTTTGAGTCAAACTTGATAGATCATGTGAATTACTGAATATTAATGGCTGATTGAATATTGGTGATGAAATAAAAAGACTGTCAGTAAACTATGAATAGAGGGGAACTTTCTCAACTTGATTAAGAATACCTACAAACAGACATGGATGCAGCTGGAAACCATCATTCTCAGCAAACTATCGCAAGAACGGAAAACCAAACACCACATGTTCTCACTCATAGGTGGGAATTGAACAGTGAGATCACTTGGACTCGGGAAGGGGAACATCACACACCGGGGCCTATTATGGGGAGGGGGGGTGGTGGCATTGGGAGTTATACCTGATGTAAATGACGAGTTGATGGGTGCTGTTGAGTTGATGGGTGCAGCACACCAACATGGCACAAATATACATATGTAACAAACTTGCACGTTGTGTACATGTACCCTAGAACTTAAAGTATAATTTTAAAAAAAAAGAATACCTATAAAAAACTTGCAACTAATATTATACTTAATAGTGAGAAACTGGATGCTTTTTCTTTAAGATCAGGAACAAAGCAAGGACATCTCTCACCACTCCAATATTATATAGAAAGTCTTAGCTAATCAATAAGACAGAAAAAGGAAACAAAATGTATACAGATTGGGAAGGAAGAAATCAAACTGTCTTGGCTCACAGATGATATTAGTTTTTATGTAGGTAATCCCGAAGAATCAACAAAAAAATTTCAGGATCAATAAGTGTTTATAGTGAGGTTGCAATGTATGAGGCTAATATACAAATTTTAATTGCTTTCCTATATACTAGCAATGAACAATTGGAATTTAAAATTAAAAACATAATGCCAGTCATATTAGTACAAAAATGTATAAATCTAACAAAATATATTCTGGATCTCTATGTGGAAAACTAGAAAATGCTGATGAAAGAAATCAAAGAAAATTTAAATAAATGGACAGATGTTCCTCGTTTATATACTGGAAGACTCAAGGTTGTTGTCAGTTCTTACCAACTTGATCGATAGATTCAATACAATTCCAGTCAAAATTCCAGCAAGCTATTTTGTGACTATCTATAAGCTGGTCCTGAGTTTCTATGGAAAGGCAACAGACCCAGAATAGCCAGCGTAATACTGAAGAAGAACAAAGTTAGAAGACTGAAACTACCTAAATTTATGATTTACTATAAAGCTGCAGAAATCAAGACAGTGTGGTATTGATGAAAGAAAAGGCACAGAGATCAGTGGAGCAGAATGGAGAGCCTAGAAATAGACCCACACAAATACAGTGAAGTGATCTTTGACAAAGGAGCAAAGGTAACTTGATGGAGAAAGGGTAGACTTTTCAACAAATGGTGCTGGAACAATTGGATGTCCATATGCCTACAAATGAATCTAGACCCAGAGCTTAAACATGTCCATGAATGTTTATAGCAGCTTTTTTCATAATCACCCCAAACTGGAAACAACCAAGATGTCCTTCAGTAGGTGAATGTATAAATTTTGGTGCATTTATACAATGGAATATTATTCATCAGTAAAAAGAAATAAGCCATGAAAAGACATTAAGGAAACTTAATTGCATATTGCTAAGTGTAAGAAGCCAGTATGATGAGGTTACATATTACCCCATTCCAATTATAGGACATTCTGGAAAATGCAAAGCTATAACAGACACAGTAAAATGATCAGTGTTTGCTAGGGATTTGAGGGAAGTATGGAAAGGATAAATAGATGAAGCATAGGGAATCTTTAGGGCAGTACGATTATTCTGTATGCTATTGTAATAACGGATACAAGACATTATAGATTTGTTAAAACCCACAGAATTGTATAGCACAAAGAGTAAACCTTAATGTATGCAAATACATCATTTAGGAGGTTTAGGAATCTCAGGAAAGAAAACAGATGGTCTATGATAAGGCCTAAACTTCCTATGCTGCAAACAAACCGAAGCTGCTCTTCTGCACTTACCTTCTCTATTGTTCAGCATCATTAAGGTGCTTGTTCATCCATACATCATGCTGCCTATGGCCCCTCTGCCTTAGTTTATGGTGCCCCTCTACCTGAAATTTCCTATCCCTACCCCCAGCTCATCTTTCCCTACTTATTATCTGTATACGTGATTTGTCTTCTCTACTCGACCATGAACAATGCAAGGCCAGAATCTTACTGAATTTAGAACAAGAACAGAAGACAGAAATTGCTTACTTTATATTTATAAAAAGAGAGAGAGAGAAAGAGAGAGAGAGACTGCCTTGGTTCTTACTGACAAGAAGCTCACATTTGAGTGGAGACTAGAATATCGTTTGTATTACAAATAAAATAATAGTTACTAGTGGAAATTTTAATCCATGCTTACAAAACTCATTAGTTAGGACTGAAATCCTGTAAGGAAACTTTTAAAACAATGAAAGGCGAAAATTTTCTAATATTAGATTATAAATGGCTTAAAGAAGGGAGAAGTGTTATAATAATCTGAGAGTGTGTAGATTACTGCTAGGCATTCAATTCTTGAATATTTTCCTCTACAGTCTTTGCACCATTTGTGTGCATGCTGTTTATGAAAATTCAATCTGGAAAATGCAGAGTAGCACAGAAAATTAGTTTAAATTTAAATGTAAATTGACCTATGGTAAGAATAGCCCTTTTCTCACCACTTTAGAGTATTTTCTAAAAGAAAAGTTCCACATTTTAATGTTCTACATTCACCCACAGAGGTGAGCAACTCTAAAATGAAATACAGCATACACAACACTCTCCTTAGTTGAAGCTCTTACGCTATTCAGAGCTTTTTGTCCAAAGGCATGTGTCCTTGCCTCAACCCATCATGTGATCTCTGTTTCTGGATCTTGTGAAATAGGATGAAGCACACGGGGCAATTTATGTAAAAAGTCTCTTGATTTATCATAGTGATGTGAAACGAGACAAAATTATATTCTTGTAAAATGACTGGTTTTAAATTCTGTCTTTTACGACTTGCTCATATTTATTGAATCATTTTGTATTGATTGTAGGGTACAGGAGATGTCGATTGTCATTTTAAAATTAAGAAGAACTTGGAGAATGCATCCATAAGCCTGGAATCTACGAAGAGCCCAGGATTGTTTGTTGGACTTCAGTCAGATGGGCAGGCAAAACCAATGATTTATACCAAGGATGAGAATGTTTGCTTCTATCCACAAGTCATCCAATGTATGTTTACTCTGACATACTTTGCTTTTTGGTTTGCTTTATGATGGTTTGTGTACAGTGTCTGAAAATTTCATCACATTTTTACTAGGCAAATCTCTGCTGTTAGGCTTTTTTGTTTGTTGTCATTCCAGAAGCAATGGAAGGAAAACATGATGAAGACGGTTGCCTCAAATTTTCAGATAAATTAATATTAGGTATAGAAGTTTTGCTACATTGAACTTCTTTGTAACTTTGAAAGTTATGTGTGCATTCGTGTGTCTGTGTACACGTGAATGTTTGAATCTTTGTTTTTTAAGGATAGCTTCATATACCCCGAGAGGAATGAGGCTGTTAGAAATATTCTCAGATTCATTGCTATTAATTTTTAATGGTTGCAGTATAAAAAGAGATGGAATAAAGATCAACACAAATGGGATTTGGATTAAAAATAGGATTTGGGAAAAAATCTCAAGATAGGACAGAAATGTGAATATTTTGAAACTGGTTTCTCTCATATCTAAGTTCATGTTCTCTAGCAAATCGAAATGAAGATATGAGGATATTATTTAATCATGTATTTGTGTTCAAACCTTAAAATATGTTTCAACACAAAGGCTAATAAAGTAACTTTATTGTATTTTTCAATTATCTTGAAGTTTAGTTTGCTATCTAATTTTTGCTTGATGTGAGGTTCCCTGAATTTTGGCTTACTCAATATCTGTGTCATTTTCTTGGTCTGACTTTTGTTTAGCTTCTGTTGGCTTATGAGAGTCCATATTTACTGTATGTGTATATATAATATCCCACAGAAGATAGCTTAGAATAGGAATAAAATGATCCTGATGTAACATGATGGTATATTTGGCCCTGTTCTTCACTCTATCTGCATCAACTCCTTTTCAGCCTTTAGTTGCCTTTTTAAAAATTTTGTAAACTGTTGGAGTAGTATACCTGAGTTTACTGCCATCCATACCACCACTCCCTCCACCCTTCATTTTCCCACAGGCTGGCCCAGAGTGGCATTCTGCCTTGACACAATGCATATGCCATCTGCCTCTGGAGCTCTGAAGGGAAACAGGTGACTTCAAAGCCAGCAGAAGGATACAGGAGTAGAAAAAGAACAGTGGGAAATAGCTAGCAGGGGTCAGCTGCCATGCTGGAAGAGCACAGGGAGAAAACAGAAATGACCAGGAAGCAGGTAGAGATGAAAAGGTGAAAAAGAAGAGATTGAAACAATAGAAAAAGAAATGAGAAGAAGAAAAGTAATTTGTGGCAAGACATAAGAGAGAGATAATAAAAGGACACATTTGTCAACATTAGGGTATTAGTACTAAAAGAACCAATAGAAACAAAGCCATTCTTCTTTACAGCCCCTACAATTTAGTTCTGTTACTAAAGCATAGATGGTTTGTTTTCTTCTCTGTTTACTAGAGGCAGCCTCCTGCTTTAACAAGGGCAAGAATGCAAGAGACATTGCTTTAGAAATTTTATTGAAGATTCATGAATCCTAGGAATTCTGAGGAAGGGTTTGAAAGCATCAACATTTCTTTAAAATACAAAATAATACTTTCCAATTTTACAAGAAGAGCATTCCATTGGGATTTCTGAGTGTTAAAAACTCTGTCTTAGGGGATTTTGTGAAGAGTGACAGAATGTTTATGTAAAAGTTTGTAGGGCCAGACACGGTGGCTCACACCTATAATCCCAGCACTTTGAGAGGCCAAGACGGGTGGATCACTTAAGGCCAGGAGTTTGAGACCAGCCTGGCCAACATGGTGAAACCCTGTCTCTACTAAAAATACAAAAATTAGCTGGGCGTGGTGGTGCATG